AAAGAATGTCCGTAGGTTTGGACAAGTTTTGAGAGTGCAGAAATTCTGTATATAATTCTGTCTGTGCATATGGCACAGTAAGGGAAGTGTAGTCCCATGTCATATTTTTTTCTACTATGTGTCAAATAAGGTAAAAAAAATCTGTTTCTCTTTATATAATTGTATAGACACAGACTAAGTTTTCTAACTTTTGCTCCAAGTTGGGTGTGCTCACATTTCAAAGAGTATTGATTATTCCACTGGTATTAAATAGATGATGGTGATGATAGTGATAATTATACCTTACCCAAGGGCACAGAGCATGCTAACTAGTGCCTTAGGCAGGATTTGGACCCAGATTACGTGGTGTGGAAGCCTCAGCTCTTGTCACTATACCACACTGGATACAGCCATACCGAATTACCTATTATACCAATGCTGCTGCATGCAGTTCCCTAGGCCTGTACTTAGGCCTCTGCAAAAGAATGAGAAAATCGGAAACTTGGTATGTAGTGCAAGCGTTTATAACACAGGGTTTACAATGCAGTGAATTGGTTATAGAGTGGGGGAGGTATTGAGAGCCAAACAGGGGACAGTGAAGTAATCCAGAGATCTGCAACCACAAGAAGCCACTAGGACCCTTGACCAAGAGACAACAGGAGGAGGGGAAGTTACCAGAGGCTTCAGGTCGTCCAGTGAAAGCTGGAACCCCAATAAGCCAGTCCACAAAGGAAACTGGGCCACTCTGAAGAAGTCACTTGAGGCAGACAGAGAAGGTAATAAATAAACCTGGTTTCTCCCTTGCTGTTAAGACTCCAATCTCTACCAGCCAAACCCAATCAGCAAACCTAGGAACCTGGAAAACCAACCCTCATCAGTTGCTCCCCCCTCTGTGCAGAGCAGTCAGGCAAGGACTGGGTCTGAGAGCAGACAGATCCAAAGAGGCACACCCACATGGGATTTTGTTGTTGTTTTCCCGAAGAAAGCACCTTAAGCCTCCTTTAAATAGTAACTCCCAACACCTTTAGACTAACTTAATGGGGCAACAAAATTAAAAAAAAAATCACATGTGACTTTAAAAACATCTATCATGCAAGCAGATATATTTTTATACCTGTGACTCACTGAATATTAGAAAAAGAAAGCATTATCGAACGCCTCCTTGCCAAGGACCAGCAGAAACAATTGCCAGAGTATGATTTTTGCTTGACTTGTTACCTGAGGGAAAGGGAAGCTGGCTACAAATAGTATGGTCATCTGGCTAGTACTTTTGGAAGGCTAATTTACCGGAACATTTTCAGGTGGCCTTGTGCATGATTATATATAGTATGAGCAGCTGGCCAGCTTGTGCTAGAAGTCCTGGACATAATTCTTCAGAAATGTAGGGTACTGGAGACTTCTGGGTAATGGAGGAAGTTCTATGTGAAGGTCCTGGCCCCTGAGTTACAGTGGGTTGTGCTCCAGGACTGACCGGGCTGCCACTTTCTGATTTACTGACTCCAACTGAGAGTTGGAGCGCCCTCTAGGGGAGAGCTGGCTGCTCGGCACCCCTCTCTCTACCCCCGACCGTGGCTGGGCACTAACCCCCCACCCCTTCCCTTCTGCAGTGTTGTTACTTACCAGTCCTTTTTCTTCAAATACTCCATGAAATACGGCTGTGGTCTTACTAGATATTGCATCAAAGGAGATTCAGTACACATTATATTCTGAGTGTGCTGTCACACATTCAGAGGATTGCAGATAAATGACTCACAGAAAACATGAACAGCAGCAGAGAGGACGGGGTCCCAGTGCCCTCAGAGCTCAGCCACAGAAGATGGCCCAGTATCACTGCCAGCAGACAGGATGTCTTTTGGGAGTATGATTCTCCTGATTTACAGTGATTTTTAAAAAATCACTTTATCCTGTATTTTTTGAAGGAGGTGGCTCAGTAGGGTAATTTGTGGTTAAGATCATAGACCTTGGAGCCTCTTCTTCCTTGTATCTTTCCAAGTCTGTCCGCTTTTCTCCACCCCTACTGCCATAAACGCCTGGTCTGTGCTTGTTGCTACCACTGACTGCTTCCCCTCATGGGTCTTCCTCTCCTCACTGCTGCAGCCACTGGGATCCTTCTAGGCAAATAAGATCAGCCATGCTCACCATCCTCCAAAGGCTCCCCCATCCCTTAGGATAATAGCCACAGGATATTTGGTCGCACACGCCCCCATCTCTCACCTACAACCCCTGCTCTGTAAATCCTGGGCACCCAACTACATCTCAGGAAAACACCAATCTTCCCAGGTGGGGGGCAAATGCCCACCCTAGCAACTCGTAATTATTGCCTGTCCCTTTGCCTCCTGGCAAAGCCAAGTCTAGAGGACAGGCTGGGCCTTCGTCCTTTGAGTATTACCCAACATCCAACGTCTGGGACAAAACCTGCACTCAAGGATATTTGAAAAGTACTTTACAGTTTGCACAGTGTTCCTCACATCCGCCCATTTAATCCTCCCAACACTCACCTAGCAGTATTTTCTAATTATCCAGGCAGGAGAACTGAGGCTTGAAAAGGTCAGTGGCCCACGTTAGACTCTCAAGTGGCAGAACGGTTACTCACAGCCGTGGTTCTCTGAGGGGACAGCACGTAGGGCTGAAAATTCTACAGACTTGGTGTGAATCCCCACCCAGCCATGGCCTGGCTAAAGCACCGACTTCACCTCCCTGCGCCTGTGTCCTCATCCTTAAAAAAGACAGTAATTCCAATTCGGGCTTATTATGAGGATTGAATAAAACAATGCCTATGGAATGTCTACAGTGCCTAGCTCCCAGTCGGAACTATAAATGTGAGTTCCCTTTCTGACCCCAAGCTTGGTGAGCGGCTTCTATTTCTCCAGCAGCTCCTCGGTCTCTGAGCTCCGGAGGCCACTGGGGGTGCCAACTGTGGAGCACCGGGCCCGTTTTGACGTGATAGCTGCCAGCGGGTACCAGCTAGTCCTTAAAGAAGTGTGGGGACTACGGGCACAGCCGTGAGAAGACAGCGGAGAGGGAACTAAGGGGCCCTAGGAGGCAGGGGTTGAATGGGGGGGCCTGTGGGGAGCGTTGGCTGACAACAGCGGGAGAGCTGGCACCCCACTGCACGCACCACAGAGGGGTCCGCTCACGTCTCCCGGACCTCCAGTCTCCCGCAAGCAGTCAGCGCCCGCCTCTCTCCCACCCCACTTTACCACTGCTACTTCCTTCCCTCCCCAGCTCTAGGCACTGTCCTTAGAACCACAAAATGCAAGGAGGGTCCCTGGGCGAAGCAAGGTGGAGGCCGCGGCTCGCGACCCGGCCGCGAGCCCCGGGAGCGCAGGCCCCGCCCCCACCCCGGCGCCGGCTGGCGGGAGGCGGGACATGCGCACGCGGTGGCTGGGCGCAGGGCGCCGGGAGGCGGGGGAGCGCGCGTGCAGTTCCTCTCCGCCGGAGCCGGCGGGCGCTGCGGGGAGGTGGTTTGCCGTGGGCGGGTAGCCGGACGCGGGAGCGGGGAGCGCGCCGCCAGCGGGCGAGTGCGGGTGTGCGAGGCCGCGGCGGCGGGCCCGCGAGCCTGGAGCGCCGCATCTAGGAGATGCGAGCGGCAGGGAGCCGCCGCGCTGCTGTGCCGGGTGAACTCGAGCGGCAGTGACCTCAGCGAGGGGAGAGCGGGAGGACGGCGGCTGCCAGCCCCGCGGGGATCCTGGGGGCCAGGGGTACGCGGGGCACGGCGGCGGCGCGGGAGCGCGGGGCGCAGACCGGGCGGGGCTGGGGGACAGTGATGAGAGGGCGCGCGGGGAGGCTGCACGCCCCCGCCGCCGCTGCCGCCGCCCGGAGCATCTGCCGCCCGAGCTGCTGCTCGCGGCCCCGGACCCGGCCATGGAGACGCTGAACAGCCTCGCGGGCGGTGGCTCCCCGGACGCGAAGCCGCTCCCGCCCGGCCAGCACCATCGCCACCACCACCTCCACCCGCTGGCCGAAGGTAGGCGGCTGCACCGCGCGCCCTCGCCCGCCAGACCCTTCCTCAAGGACCTGCACGGTCGACCCCCGGCGTCCGGCCCGGCTCCGGCCGCCCCCT